TCGCACACTTAGTGGCTTCATAGGATATTAAAGATCAAATAATAAAAACGAAATTGCAGTACCAATTATTTGGATTCAATACCATACACAGAGTCTAAAAATATAAACACCTAACAGACTTTCTTTATCATTATAGGAAAATCTGTCGAGTAGCCCGTAACTTAACTTTTACCGTCAAATTATTCACGATTTTGTCCTGTCATGACAAGATAGTTAAGTCTGTGCACTTTATTTTATATTCCATACCTCAATGCGGTCCTCTTTTATGATGAACAATCGATTCATTGTAGGTACCTACTGTTTGGAAGGGCAACGCTCTCTATTATGTTAAAACACCATTGTCAAAACATAACATTTATAGCTATGCACATAGTGGTTTTCCCTAACCTTACCGGTGCACCTGCAAATACATATTACTATGAAAACATCTGTTATAATAACTACTTTTCAATATGTTAATATGTCAGCGTATTTTAATGTTTATAAATAACATTAATTGCCGTACTCAGAGTCGTTTGATGGTTGCTTAACTCAGTCAGTAACAAAGAGTTCTCCACATTTTTGGCAATCCACACAAAATAGTCTGCGAGAGCTATACTTTAGCATGAATAGGTAGGCTTGACCGAGCTGATACCACTGCCATGGTATTGTATGAGTGAAGTTCATGTTCACGGGTTTTGGGGAATTAGGGGTTTTAGGCATTGGGCTTTGGCATAGGGGTTACCAGAGGACCAGTCCTTCTCTTTTTTCCTCCCCAATGCCTAAAATTCCTAATTCCCAAAAAGCCGTCAACGCACTAGTCCCTAAATCTTCTGATATCGCAAATGTCCATGGGTGGTGCCGATTTCTTTTAATTAGGTATTCCATCTGCTCGTTTGAACTGTTGTAGATACTTATCCTTAACTCTCCCACCATCAGACAAACCAATATTAGCATGAGTATCAGAAAAATCAAATTCTGAATTTAGGGATAACAACTTAGTAGAATAAATTGTAATCCACAACTGGCTGCTGTGCAACGTGTCGCGGGTTCGATTCCCGCACGGAACAACACTTTGTGTGACCCATAAATTGTTGTTTCGGGTCAGGGTGTCATGTACATGTGAAATTGTATGTTTGTAACCGCACCCACGGCACAGGAGAAAATCCTAACGTGGGGCAAGGTTTAAAAAAAAAAAAAAACAAAAAAAAACTATCACTAGTAAATCTATTTTTTGAAAGATTTTCCTCTGGAATCTAAGACAGTTGATTCATGCCTCTGGAACGTATGACTTCACTGTCTCATGATATTCTTCATGATAGTCTCTTATTCGCGCCTTTAACGCATTCTTATAAGAATAGTCACTGGAGGGTTAGATATTACGGGCTATTCTAAAGAAATTATTTAGAGTTTTACCTCATATTATTTTTATAGTCTTAAAGTTCTGTTAAAAAATCTATGGGGCATTCGCCTCCACGTGCGTTCACTATGGAATAGTAAAACTTGGCATTGATATAAAAATATTTATTTATAGATGAAGATGAAGAATTTAGTGTTCGAAATATTTCAATCGATACGAATCAATTGTTGATTGATATTTCAGTTTGAAAGCTTCTACAACAGTTGTATGTAACTGTTTTAATGAATTGGGCTTTTTATATTTAAACGTATAAGCAACTATTACGTATTGGTTATCAAAATTATGAATGACTCAAAGATAAAACAAATGAGCTTTTCCTTTGGCGCCTTTCACCATACCTCTGTATTTAGTAAACGTTTTTACAAAAAGAAATTGTCTTAAACAAAAAGTGTCATTTTCTAAGAAGTACATTGGACTCAACGTATAATAATAAAGATGTCGCAAGGCCACCACTGCATTATGTCTGGACTGTCGGCATCCAAGTGCGTGGGACGCAGTCTAGTCGGTAACGAGCATAAACTAGATGCAAGCTGAAATTCAATACGTATGTGTGATAAAATTTCTGTCCACTACACATGATTGCCATTAAATTGAGTATAAATTGACTAGTGTTTACAATATTGTAGACCAAGACTATTTAGTCATAGCCACTGAGGTAAACATAATATTCTGTTATGCTCGTGTAATGAAAAAATAACCAATATCAAAATTTAGGACGAATTCGTATGGTAGATCAAATCTAAGATAATCCATAGAATTATCGGGGTATGCTTCCCACAATTTGCCAGAAATGAAAAATGATAAATGCCTTTGATTTTTTCAGAAAATAAACTATTACAATGGACTTCTAAACTATGCTAGCGTAAATATAAGAAGTGTTTCATATCAATATGGCATGGCATTATCCTAAAAATTCAACTTCAAAATCCCACGTAATCCTTTTCTTCACATCGGAGCTAAACAAAAACCAAATATAGAACTATTATTACCTAGTAAGTTGTACAACGTATCCCAAATAGTACTTTGGGGGGGTATAATACCTTAATTGAATCATGTTGAACGAAACACCGTAATTATACTGACCTTATTGGCGAATGGCAATTGTCCTTCGGAAAGGTCAGGTACGTAGTCAACTACTCATACACGCGTGTGTACACTCAGGAAGGAAATGAATAGGGATAATTGTATCATTTTATGGATTGGGCACTTCTGTTCTGTGACTATACTATGGGATAATCTCGTTTCAAAAATAGAACTGACAAATGGATAGAAAAAAGTCCGTAGAACTTGAGGGTTCGAAAAAAGCATTTCGAAAAAATTAAACGGACATTCGTTTGCGGTTCAACCTCAGTCTCTTCTGTTTTGCAACTCTTTTCGAACTAAAAAGAGGCTAGCCTCACGATAACTTAATAAAATACGTGAATAAAAACATCGTGAGGAGACCTGGACTTTATTAGTTTAAAATCGATAATCCACCTTGAGAAACCTTAGTGATTAATTTTCAAACCTTCTCCTTGTGAGAAGAGGCCTCTGCTCAGCAGCGAATACTTATATAAATGTGAATGTGTTCTTTTGGTAAGATTAGTTAAATAGATCGAACAAATATTGAAATTATTGTCAATATATCACGTGGGCTATTGTCTCGATCACATTGGTCTACAAGTAAGTACAATTTATTTTATGAGATACGTCCACCAGAGGACAGCTGGAACTAACACATTGGACGTATAAAAATTAAACGTCTTCATTTTGTGTTAAGTGGTAGGAGTCAATTAACGGACTATCACTTCATTAATAAAGACATCGTCTAATTAATTCTAGTTAGAGTCTTATCATTGTTCTAAATTGAAGCCGTCGTGACCCTATGCTAAATTGTACAATGTACTATTATAGCCTTTCAAAATTTAAAACAGAATTCTATATTTTTTGTTAGTGCAAGCAACATCTATTGTGTTGCAAACGCACTTAGGCTTGAGGTAACTGATTTTCATCAGACCGTTGTTTTCGTCACTCTTAAGAGTATAAAAAGTCCTCCTAATATTACTTCTATTTAAACCATACCACTATCGTCACCAATACCTATTATAACGACAACAGTAAACTTATCCCTTCTAGGTATGTGTGATTCAAGGTCAAAAACAATGACGTAGCAGATTTCCATGTCACATTGAAGCCCTGAAGATTAATCGTTCTTAAACGGTGCCCTTCTGACAGTAACCTTGGGAAATAGTCTAGAATATTCTACGCCTCAATTTGTGTCAGAGAAACTGTTTTTAAACCCTAAAAATTGAATATTTAAGTAGGGCTTCGGGGCTAAGTGGAGTCTACGTCAGTTACTAGTCCATGGGTGGGTTGAGCTGTATCGATGTGCTGCATTTTTGTTTGCAGCCATTCGAAAACTTAAATCGAACGTGTAGACACTACTTTTTTATACATTAAATTTGTTGACCTGAACATTTCCGTTGTAAAATGTATACTTTTATTTATAGTTATAAATATACATAATTTAAAGCGTTGAACTTAACGGTTTCTGAAGTATTGTTTTTTTTTTAATTTGTTTGTTTATTGGGCATGATTATATATTATGTATAGTGACTGAAGTCAAAACACATGATAGATATTTCTATTTAAATCTAGGTGCTTAAAATTGGTAAAATATATTATTATCTTTGAAGTTACTCCTAACTGATACTGGTAGGTAATCCATCATTAGATATTGGAATCTCAAAATACGTGTCCCGTCTTTCGACTGCACCGAATGCACTTACTTACTAGTAATACACACATACTAAGGTGATTTTATATTACAAAAATAAATGTTAGATTGCCTTTTCGATGGCCATATTAACAATCTTATTAGAGGTCCCGGCTGTAGCCTGCCAGTAATGGATAACTCTTGGATCTTAGTCCATCTCTGTCCACAATAGGTGTGAATTAATAAGATAACTAGACGCCATTGTGCCCAGCCTAACTCAAGTCTCGTCTCAATGTATGATTAGTGTATCCTGCATCCGTCAAATCAAGATCCTGGTTACATGACAAAACTAGTTGACCTCCCCATGTGTGGGACTAAGTATGATAGCAGAGTTTAGCTTACATTGGACTGGTTATCATATAATGGGTAGCGTAATAGTCGGGAAGTCGGTTGCTAGGTCAGGAGGGGTCTGATAGGATCCTCGTGGCTTTGTAGTAGAATATGTTTTTGATAGGTTTGATAGACCGTTTTATCAACCTGAAAGATTTTTCCTATGCAACAAATTCCTGTAGCATTTAAGGCACTTTGTTTGACACTTCTATAATACAGTATTTGAAAACTAGTCAAAAACAAAACTTTTATTGGAATGTCATAAATTAACTGTTACATGAATTTTGGTATGGAAAACAAAAATCTGTCCTCATCATATTTTTAGGTCAATCAAAATACTTTTTTCTTAAAATATAACCAATAAAACTCTACAATTAAGTATATCGTCAAATCCATCAATAAAGTAGAATTATTTTTGAAATCTTAAAGGAATTTATTTTCGACATAGGAAAATACCCAATTCTAAGAAAGAAGAGGTGTTCCACAAATAAAATTATATTTTCTTCTTGGTCACAGGTAACCAGTCACCATGGGTGCGATGTTCAGGAGTGAGGAGATGGTGCTGTGCCAGCTGTTCGTGCAGCCTGAAGCTGCATACGTCTCCATGTATGAGCTTGGAGAGGCTGGAATTGCTCAGTTCAGAGATGTAAGTTGATTTTTTTATGTGACGACGGCTGACTAGCGGCTCCGGCGGTATTGATTACCTGATGGTTATCGGTTCCGCCCATTTTGCTCCCCATTTTGTCAACGAATCCTCAAAGTCATCATTATTAACAGTTTTTCAATGTTTTACTTATTTATGTCTAACAATTTGCGTCATTGATGTATATAAAAATATAGAAAGGGTAGTCGATAGAATTAATACATATAAGTGGAAACAGTAAATAAATTTATACGTACCATGCATTTTATACTGTACTTCCTGGCCATCCACCACATAATCTTAATGTTCTAAATAAGTAAAAAGTTTAAGCACATCAACCAATAGCTGATGCGATGAAAAGTTTAGAAATTAACCTGATTTTCAAACAAATTAAATACATAATGAATATTTTACGTAGATTTGGCTTTAAGCCAAGGTCGGCTCTGCAATTTGACCGCTTTCTTTTTCGAATGCACACCTGTCTATAAGATGTGGCTCATTCATTTTAACTAGTTGTGACTGTTACATTCTGGAGTGTATTTTATACTCAGTTTGAAGGTTAGCTGGCTTTTGTTAAACGCGAATGTTTGTGTGTATACATGGATGGATGTTTGTGGTTCTTTTACGTGAAAACTACTAAACGGATTTTGATGAAAATAAAACAGAGATAGAATAAAGGCATTTTTTGTTAGGAGAAAATCATAAAATGACTTCTCCCGCAACAGTTGCAGCGAGAGGGAGTGTCAGACTCTTACTGACGACAACCATCTCGTTCCTTCTCCGGCTCCTATCTGGAGTCACGGTACACTATACCTCTAAGTGGCCTAAGGGTAAGGCCTCTCCCCTCAAGGAGAAGGTTTGAGCATTAATCACCACGCTTGCTCAAGGCGGATTGGCAATTTCAAACTTATAATTATAAAGTACAAGTCCAGGTTACCTAACGATGTTTCCCTTCACCGTTTGTCAGTGGTGTCTAAAATCAAATACAAATTCTTTATTTCAAGTAAACCACAACAGGCACTTTTGAACGTCAAGCAAAAAAGATATCATAAGGTTCAACTTTATATGTGTCAGTCTGTCCGTCTGTCCTCTAGTGAAGCTATTTGCTCGTTCCAATGTGTAGATTCCTATGGAGAAGAACGAAGAGACTCTATGGTTACTCTTTTTAATCACTTTTCAAAATGCATTGTTGCTTAATTTAGATAGTGATATTATGTGAGAACAGTTTAACACTAATGTTAAACGAAAGGACCCGAAAAAAATGAACCTCAAGGACAGCAACTTTAGACAGTCTCGAGTTGACGAGTCCCAAAAGGCGGCGTCCTTTAAATACTCATAGAAAGTACACACAACTCGGAAAAGGTCACATTGGTACTTGCCAGGTTTGGAACACGCACTCTCATGCATGAGAAGCGGGTACCTTAAACTCTGAGCCACCACTTGCATCCGCAACCCGTCATAAATTTGATAGATTGAACTACCTTGATGCATTGACCTTTTAATAATGCGACTAGAGAAAAAATAGTTTCAAAACAATTCAAACTGGTTCTACCTTAGACCTAGATGAAAACCATATCTAATTATAATGTCTATGTAATCAAATAGTTTTATATAATTGAAACAATCAAAGCTTGAGATTAACCATTTATTTGTTAAAAGTAAAACAAACTCCGCTTAAATTGTTTTTAGACTAAACATTTGGAACAATCCTGTTATTTATTATAAATATAAAGTATATAAACTAGTTTCTTGTATTTTTTATGTTGAAACTATTATTTTTATACAGAAAATACAAGAGTCTATTTGAAAGTTCGCCGGGAGTTTTTTTTAAAGCCAACGCGACGGATTACCTGAAAATATGTAGCGCCGCTCATGGAAATCAGTGTGTTACCGATCTCTTGGCGATTTAGGGATTGGGGGGTGAAGAAACGATTAGGCCTCCGGTAACCTCAGCGTTGTGTTTTTCCGTGCGAGTGATGTTACCGGAGGCCCATTTGCTCTTCCCCTCCCCCAATCCCTTATCCCCAAATCTTTGAAGCCCTTATCCCCAATAGGTCGGCAACGCACTTGCAACTCCTCTGGTGTTGCGGTTGTCCATGGGCATATGCTCGTTTGACGATCACTCATACACATACACATCATCAGCCTATAAGTGCCCACTGCTGAACAAAAGCCTCTTCTCACACGGAGAAGGTTTGAGCATATACCTTGCAATTTCAAACTTATAATTAGTAGGTAATTATAAGTCCATTGGTAAGTCACATTGGTACTGGTCAGGTTTTAAAACCTTTCAGGTTTAAACTTGTGCATGAGAGGCAGGCGCCTTAACCTTCAGGCCAAGGCGTTTGACGACCAATGACATAAAAAAATAAATATCACACATCGAATGTAGTCACTAAGTAAAATATTATGGTAGGCACGTTTATTTTGTCATCACGCAAAATTTCGTAGGTGGCCAGCTATAATAGTTAGTAATTCATATATTTACATTGAATGTCACAAATTGTAGACAAGCCCTACGCGTCACATGTGTGTGTGTGAACCAACAATTTACGTAAATTATAACATATGTAGATGACATGACACCATACCTACCTGTTTTTCTAAGAAGGAATAGACAGAAAAATATAGTTTAATATGGGTCCTTTATTGATAGGGAAAATCATCAAAAACAAAATACAAAATCTTTATTTCTTTAACAAAATTTTCTTCTTATAATTAGTTGCTGTAGTCTCCTATTAGGCATGTACATATAACTGTGTCTGGAGGCTCCGCTCATCATAAAAACATTATATTTAATGACTTCTACCGCCCAGAGTGAGGTGAAAGAGAGTGTCCGGCTCTTACTGACTAAAAACATCCCGTTCCTTCTCCTGCTTTAAGTCGAGGTTGCGGTGCCTCATTGCGCTTACCCCGCAACCCCGGCTTGAAATAAGACCTAAAGTTTCAATGGTTTTTTTTAATAATAATAATAAAAACATTATTTATACAGAAAACAGATTGTACATATGTATAGCAGTTTTCACAATGTGGGTTGTATAGAAACTATGAGAATCATGTGGGTGACGATCTGCTTCGCTTACCAAGGTATGAAATAACCTGGATTGAGGTGTATCAGTGCGGCTTCCCATCTATGATCTAAGTACAAGCTTCCATGTTGATTTTTGTGAACATCATCCTATATGTATATATGTATTAATCCAGGGTATCACCTATGTACATTCTAAATTTCAACCAAATCGGTAAAGCCGTTTTTGCGTGAAAGAATACCTAACAAATACCGGCTCTTTCGGGTTATGAGGGATTTAATGATAGGGGATTTGAGGATTTGAGGATTGAGGATGGGGGTAGGGAGAATTGGATCTCCGGTAACCTCATTCACGCCGGTTTTCTTGAGCCGGCCCTTTTGTACCTAAGCATTGCTCAAACTCCAGTAAAGAGTGTCAAAGTTCAAAATGATGAAATGCTATTATTAAATTAGCTGTTTACTTCCTAAATGAACTTGACATATTATTTTAATAATAACAGAATCGTTCCAATCTTTAGTCAATATTTGTATGACAAATTGTTGTTTTGAGTCGGGCCGTTTGCCTCATTATTACGTACTTATAATTATTAAAACTAGAATATAAACCATTTTTTGTTCGCTTGTGTTAGAGTTAATAAGCGACTCTGAGTAAAATATTTTTTTATTATGTTTGTTCACTTCCATTCATGGGACCACTGGATCCTGGACCTTTGAAGTCGTCCGAGGGGCGAAAGCCAACACGCAGGGACCCTTTCAACATCTGTAATATATGTATAATATAGTAAAATATATTTTCATTATTATTAGGTAAGATTACCTACTGTTTCATCTTTTTTTTCGAATACAGGCATTTTGAGAAATTGGGTTACGAAGTCTTTTTGAATAATTCCAAAGATGACGTTTCAGAACGTCATACTAAACGTCTAATGATCTCAATAATTTAGAAAACGCAAGTATGATAAACATTTTTCCAAGATTCTCTGTTTGACTCGACCTTGAGACCCGAATACTTACAGGGATTTTTGTGGAAATTTAACGTCGTTAGCCCAATCCAATATTGTGAAACTGAGATATAGCTTTAAGTGCTACTAAATATAACTTTGTACATTTGAGCATAAATTGTTGTTATCGATGCCGGGGTTGCGGGTAAAGCTCAATGCAGAATGGTTTTTATTCAGTAAGACTCTGACACATTCCCCCTACCCAGGCCAGGAGAAGTCATTAATTTTTTTCCAAAAAAAAGCGTTCTGGGTCGGGGTATCTGCTGGTGATTCTAACCAGTGTGGAAGAGTTGGTTGGCACGAATGGTTCGGCTCGACCGGAGTGATACCACGGCCATACTGAAAACCAGACTGAAACAACCACAGCGTTGTGTTTCGCCATGTGGGTAAGGTTACCGGAGGCCCAATCTTTCCTTTAAATAAATCTCCATATCCCTAATTCCCAACGCACTCGTAACTCCTCTGCTGCACAAAAGGACAGCAGCGTTCTTGCAACTGGTTTCATGTTGTAGATACATGTCCATGGGCGGCGCTGATTGCTTACCATCAGGTAATCTGTATGCTCGTTTGGCGACCTATTACATAAAAAGAACCGTTATTCCAGCTTGCATTGAAACTTATTATTATAAATATTACTAAGACCTCCAGCATAACAAACTAAGTATGAACACATGTTACAAATTTGTATTTCTATTTACATATATCGACATTCTTATCGCCCATTAGCTATAACTATCAATATCTGTATTTACTTAAAACAAATCGAATACGATAACTTGTGTTGCACCAGCGTTTTCGTATTGAGTTCTGTCCTACATAAAAGAAAAAAAACTAGCTTCTATCAACGTCTTCACCCATATTTCCTTATGGAAAAGTGACTCAAGCTGTTTTTTATATGTGATAGGACGGGAAACGAGCTGACGGATTACCTGATGGTAAGCAATTAGCGCCGCCCATGGATTTGTAGCCTTAAC